GTTTTATTTTCACCATGATATAGACGAAAACTTGGTTTAGTTTCCTTCAGGTGAGCTGCTCCTGGGCTCATGATGTTGTGGTTTGCTGTGAAACATAATAAAACTCAGCCGTCATTAACAAAATTAGTTTCTTCTGCAGCAACAAGTCAAAACGTCTGCAGGGAAATCTTCTGTTAGCGTTATGGGGGGCAGACCAGAGATTCTCTTGGAGGTAACAGTCAACCACGGCCTCCTTTAATATCTGAGCTTCTGGAAATGAAGGTGATTATTAGACTATAAAACGATAACGATGTGCCTCCAGCCTGCAGCACACTCATAAATGAATCCTCACCACTTCCTGTTGGCAGATACCAGAGCTGGCACACCAGTTTAAAAGTCTTTCTCTTAATGATTTAGTCATTTTTACCTGCTTTTCCACTTCATGTTAGTTATTTTTAGGCTCATATGCTGCAGACAGCAGCAGGTTTAGGATCCACTCTCTGATCTTCAGAAGTCGGGCCGCTGTGAGGGAAACTCCAGAATCTTCTGCTTGCATTTCTTGAAGTGGGTCACGGTGGAACTGGATGTCTGCTTTGAATAACTGTCCTGAGCTTCATATTCAGTGTCTTACAGTGCAGCACTGCTCCAGAGACGGTTGAACCGTCCTCTAGCTCCTCTGCAGTGACAGAAAAGTTCTGGTTTGTTTATTATGCAAACGGATGCAGCTTTTTGCAAACTCACCGAGACGAGTGATGATTCTTTATTTTTCAAAATCCAGAATATAAAGTTGCTCCAGTTTCCACAGTGAACATGTTTTATGTGGGAGTGAACCAGGTCTACATAAATCACACATTAAAGACTCCTTTAAGTGTTTATTTTGTCTTTTAGCGCATACTGAGTGGAGGTAATGTTCAACAGGATTCAGGAGACGGCTCGACCACGGATGTATCTCATGACTCTCATTCCTGTGAAGGTAAGACATGATGAGAAGCTTTTATTGTTGTTTTAGGTAAATGCTGGAGACTTGAGATGACAATTGTTAAATCTGATATAGGAGATATTGTAGAAAACAAGACTTGAAGAACACAAATGTCACAGTTCAGTGGCTCTTTGTGCCGCAGAGAATTTTATTGCACAATAAAAATATTCAAAAGTGCTTTACTGGCTGTAACTCTGACTGTAACAGTTAAGACACTTGATTTCTACGTACTGTAAATAAGAAAATAAATGTCCATTACCACACAACAGCCAGCAGTGTAGTCTCACCTGTAACGAAAATGCACAAAGTAAAACTGTCTTCCTCTTTTTGTCGACATTAAGGAGACAATCATCTTGTGTTTTTTTGGATTTGTGGACAAAACCGACTGCTGGTTTGATTCTGACATTCAGCTCCACATGTTGACCAATCGATCGATCGGTGTGATTAAAACTCAAGTTTAACATGTAGTGTGAGTTCGTACATGTTTAATAAAATTGGCAGAGCTTTTACATCTAACTCTGTTTACATGCTGTAGCTGTTAAACAACTGGTCCACCTCCAGAATGTTCTGGTTGAAGCTCGTCCTCCAGATAGTTGATCCACATCCTGACATGACTTCACTTCTGACCGATTACCGTAATGTCCGGACTATAAGCCTCTACTTTTTTCACACGCTTTGAACGCTGCAGCTTGAACAACTTACTAATTTATGGATTTTTACGAATTTGCCTCGAGACCAAAGTGACATCGAGAGCGACAACGAAAGAGAGACTGAGGACGTAGTTCTGAGGCTGAAGAAGACGACTTTAGTGGTTTTAGTGCAGGAGGAAGATGAAGATAGCGATCAATGACTTTTCCTGGTAGGCTGCTGTAGTTTTATTTTCCTAACCAGCCGTGTTACAGGAACTGTTCAGAAAAAAGCAAGTTAATGGGTGCGGCTTATATTCAGGTGCGCTCAATAGTCCGGAAATTATAATATTTGTCTTTCTGAACCAAGCACTGCATCCTGACTGACTGACTTCTCAAGACATGTTTTTAGACAGACTCTTTTTCTATGAATATGTCACCAACTCATGTACGTCTTCTACTTTACTTAAAGGTCAGCGTAAGTGCACTAAATGTCTCAGGTTTCCTCTTTGTCCTTTAGAGCCGACCTCTGAAGAACCACCTCCTTCACTGCAGCTTCGCGTCATCAAGGTGGAACAGATTCCCATCCTGGAGGAACCAGAGACCCACCTACAGGTCAAAGAGGAGCGGGAGGATCGGTGCATCAGCCCAGACGTGGAGGCCGATGCTTCCAACAGCGCTCAAGCCAAGCATCTTAAATCTGAGCCGAGCGCTAGCTGTGAGCTCCTTCCTTCACCCGGCGCTCCAACAGAGAGTTTAAGTGATGGTTCGCTGTCGCCTCGTCACAGCGTTGAAGTCTTTGTAGAACTGGAGCAGCCTCCCAGGGAAGAAAAGTCTTGTCATATTTGTGGCAAAAGTTTTAAAAAAGACTCGTATCTGATAAGACACGTAAACAAGAGCCACAAAGGACGGCGGGCCTTCAGATGCCTGCTGTGCGACAAGGAGTTCGACCAGCGGTTCCAGCTCGTTCTGCATGTGAGGAGCCACACAGGCGACAAACCCTTCAGCTGTGACTACTGCAGCAAAACGTTTGTTCAGAACTCAAGTCGTCTCGCTCACATGAGAGTGCACACGGGGGAGAAACCTTATTTTTGTGCAAAGTGTGGCAGAAGTTTTGCCACCAGCAATCATTTCAAATTCTGCAAAATGCACAGTGAAGGCAAAGTGACGCTAGAAGAACGAGAGGACGCTGATCAGAAGGAGGAGAAGGCCTTCAAATGCTTCCAGTGCAACAAGGAGTTTGATAAAAACCACCAGCTGGTTCGACACGTCAGAGTGCACACCGGAGAAAAACCCTTCAGCTGTGACTTTTGCGGGAAAACTTTCACCCAGAACTCCAATCGCGTCGTTCACATGAGACAGCACACCGGAGAGAAACCGTATTTTTGTGATAAATGCGGCAAGAGGTTTGCCAGCAGCCACCATCTGAAGTTGTGCACGGGGAGGCAGCCCAGAGGCTCAGATAAGTTGTTCCGCTGCACGATCTGCGGCCGAACGTTTCACACCGATTCAAACCTGAAGGTGCACTTGGAGGCTCACGAGTCGTGGCAGCGACACATCAGTCGGAAACTGCAAGGACACAAACTGGAGGAGAGAAAGATTAAAGCAGTGTGAAGCAAAACATCAGAGACTGAAACCTACAATACGGTAAATGATGCAATGCAGCAGGTGTGTGTCTGTAAAGCAGCAGGAATTAAAACAACCTGTGGACTGAAGCAGCCGATCATTTGATTTAGTGCAGAAGAAGAGTCATGTGACACGTTAATCGCCTCCTTTTATGTGAACAGAGTCTGAAGCAGAAAGTCTGAGTTGACAAGGAAAGTTGAAAACCGCCTTCGTGATACCCGTTATCCCTGACTGGGGCTTCAGTTTTTGTCGAGCCGGCTTACACAAAGGATGTCAAACTGGCTCCACAGTGCAGCCCTCTGGTCCGAAGATAGTGGAGCAAACTGAGCTAAAGTTCATCTTACAAAAAGACATTGAAGTTATGTCTGTGAGGAACCAAATTATATTTCATTGTGGTGCTAAACAGAGACAAAACAGTGATCCTTGAAGAAATGGAGGAAGCAGATACTGACATCAAAGGTGGAACGTCCATCAAATCAGCAGCAGAAGATAGAATACTGACAGGCCGACTGATATATTCTTTGACGCTGAGGTTGAAGGTGTCAGACGGGTCAAACCCTCCATCTCTGCTGAGCTTCTTCAACCATTCCTCTGCACATTCGCACCCTAAACACACAGGATATGTTCTACAATTAAACTCAAATCGTACCCAAAAGTCAGGAGCCTATGAATAAAAGCACTTTGAAGGAAAGAATCCTGACTTATATGTGTGAAAGGCAATAAATTAAAAAGCCTCATCATGAGAAGAGAGAAAATAAACAGAAAGATAAGAAAACAAGGAGAGAAGTCACAGTGTGCAGCAGCTCTGAGGACTGTGGTGTTCAAATAGCACGTGTTGACTGAGGATTAGAGAAGTGGAGCTCAGATTGTAGAGCATCGCTGCAGTGAGAGGTTTGTCCTTCTATCAAAGGGAAGAGCTGGATGGAGCAACGATTCAGATTCCCCCTGCAGCCGTGAAAACCGTGAAGTCGATTTTAAACGTTGAATGATCTGGAAGCTCTACCAAGATGGCTCAAGTTGCCCTGAACCTGGGGACGGTTGAGCCACAGATGTCTTAAACTTAAAGGTTATTTTTTTGATCCACTGAACATAAACGCCCCTGCTTGGTTTCTGTTAATTTATACTGATGGTTGTATCCTGACTGCTGCCTTAAACGGATCGGTTGGTTATGATGCTCTTGTCTTAATGGTCCTTTTATGTTTTTAATGACAGAGTATACGGGTCTGATAATGGAGTGTTACCGGCATCAACATTATCTCTACATTTAAGTGCCTTAGCTGGTCAAGCATGAGTTCCGGCCAATAAACCGCTGTTGAATGTTTACAGTTTTCAAAATAAAAGTGGAAAAATTTTACTCAATGTGATTCTTTTGTTTTTTTGCAAAAATGCTCCAAACAGCAGCCTTCTCCTCCATCGTGGTTCTGTGTACTGAACCAGGCTGAAAGATACGTGCTGTTTATACACTCTCAGTAGTAATTTAATAGTTTTGAGATGCTGGATTTTGGATTTTCTTCAGCTGTAAGCCATAATGATCTAAATAAAAACAGAAAAAGGCTGGAAATCTTTTGCTTTACATGTAGAAGAATAGAATAGAATAGAATGCTTTTATTGTCATCATACGCAGAGTACAACGAAATTAAGAGACAACTCCAGTGGTGCAAAATACAAGTATAAAAAAGATAAATAAGAATATATAAATATATTTACTAAAGGAGCCAGCAGGAAGTAGATACAGTTAGGAATGAGCACAGTAATAGCCAGATGGTAGAATAAATATATTGCACTGTTGAGGTAAGAACACTGTGGATATATGAGAAATATAAACAAATAATTAAAAAATAATATACAATAATAGTATATATATCATATGATATACAATAATTATAAATAAATATAGTATAACATAAATAATAAATATATAATGAGTTTGTGTGCAACATTTTATTTTAATTTGTAATATTTCATATTTATGTACAACATGTCAGTGCAATGTGCAGCATTTTATTGTTATGTATTATATCCCTTTACTATCTGAGAATCATTGCCAGTGTCACTTACTTACGTTTTTTTTCTTTTTAACTCTTGCCTTAACTTTTCTAAATGATTGTTTTCTGTAATGAATCTTACTTTTATCTCATTGCTTTTATACAAGGCACTGTCCTTCTCACTTTCTATAAATGTAGTTTTGTGAGCAGTATTTATATATATATTATATTTATATTCCTTCTTGGAGGTGTTGTGTCCAGTGTTCCTGACCCACTCGGTCCTCCCGTGCAGCAGGGGGCGCTGCTCAAACCAACCCCGCACGTTTTAAAGTTGACTCCTCTTGTCGCCATCCGCCTGTTTGTTGCCGGGAGTGGATTCCTCTTTTCAAAATCTCTGCTCCGAGCCTTGCAACTTTTCTTCATTTTTTCTTCCCGGAGATGTCTGTACCGCAGCTGCTCGAACTGGTGGTGACGGAGCGTCTGTCGGCGGCCGCGAAGGAGATCTGCGCTCTGGTGTCCAAGACGCTGAAGGAGTTCCAGGATGAAGCGACCCGCTCCAAGACTGAAGTCCTGCGGCTGAGGAAGCAGATCGAGCAGATGGCTGCCCTCAAACCTCGTGTGGTGATCATCAGACCAGGTCGGTGTCCCCTGAACAGACCGCGACGCGTTCACTGGCAGCCAAAATAGAAAGTAAACATTGGTGCAAGAAGTTTTCAGATACTTTCATTAATTACTGCGCTATGAAAACACTCCACTACGAGTTAAAGTCCTCAATTCAACACTTTACTTGAGAAAAAGTAAATGTTATCTGCAGAAGTAGTAAAAGAAAAATGCTCCCTGTTAATGTTTTACTTTAGTTAAGTCAAAAATAAGTCACAGCAAATTTTATTGTAATTTTCTATTTCATCAATAAACATTAAGAGAATATTGCAGGTGGGACCTTCATTATTATAATCATATTTATTCATCCCCTTCCATTGAAGAAAAGGCAAAATTCACACTCAAATAACTAGAAACTCAAGAAAGTGATAATAAATAAAAATTTGCTAAATTATAATTTAGTGAAATAAGACGTTGTTTTTGAATTGTGGTTGAAAAGAATAATTTTAAAAGAGTTACAGAAAACGCCTGATGGCAGTGATCACTGCTGATCTCCTAAAGAACAGACGGAGAGCTTTTAGGTCAGGGTGGAGATGAGGAGGAAGATCAGAGCGGGGGAATGTAGCTACAAGAAGAAGATGGAGGATCAACTGAATAACGTCAGCAGGTCTGGAGGGGCCTGAAGACCATCTCTGGCCACAAAGACCCCAAGACTGAACCTAGAAGGGACCAGGAGTGGACGAATGACCTGAACGCCGTTTTAAACTGGTTTGAACAGCCAGGCACCCCTCCCCCGGCTCAGTCCACCCTACACCACCCCCGCTGCTCTTTACTGCACCACCACCCCCGCTCTCCTACCACCACACCTCCCCTCCCCCGCAGGGCCCCACACTCACAACCAGCCTTCCTGCCCCAACGTGTCCCTCTGAACATCCCAGGCGAAGAGAGAACTGGGCAGGCTGAAGATCAGGAAGGCCACGGGTCCAGATGACATCACCTCAAATCCTGCACAGATCAGCTGAGCAAGGTTGTGGAGCACGTCCTCAACATGAGCCTGAAGCTGGGGAGAGGACCACAGCTGTGGAAGACGTCCTGTGTGGTACTGGTGCCGAAGATCTCGCACCCCTGGGACTTCAGCCACTAGAGGAGACCCGGGAGAGGTTGGTCCTTTGTCATCTGCGACCCCTGGTGGGCTCATCAATGGACCCGCTGCAGTTCACCTACCAGCCCGGCATCGGGGTGGATGATGCAGTGATCTGCCTCCTGCACAGATGCCTCTCTCACCTGGAGAAGACGAAGAGCCCTGTGAGAATCATGTTTTATGATTTCTCCAGTGCCTTCAACACCATCAAGCTGGAGCAGACAGGAGTGGACTCTCACCTCACAATGTGGCTGCTGGATTACCCACCAACCAGCCACAGTGTGTGAAGGCAGGGGACTGTGTGTCCAACACCAGGGTCTGCAGTACGGGGGCCTCATAAGGGACTGTTCTTGCCCCCTTTCTTTTCACCCTCTGCACTGCAGACTTCTCCCATCACACCACGAACTGCCATCTTCAGAAGTTCTCCGACGACTCCGCCATCGTCGGCCTCATCACTGATAGAGAGGAGAAGGAGTCCAGAGAACTGAACCGGGACTTTGTGGACTGGTACCTGCTGAACTGCCTCCAGATCAACGCAGTGAAAACCAAGGAGCTGATGGTGGATTTCAGCGGGAACAGCCACACTTCTCCTTCACCAGTGAACATCCAGGGAACAGACACTGAGATTGTGGACTCTTACAAACACCTGGGTGTTCACCTGAACTGGACTGGACCACTAACAGCAATGCACTGTACAAGAAAGGTCAGAACTGACTCCAGCTGCTCAGGAAACTGAGGTTCTCTGGGGTGCAGGACCTTCTACGACTTTGTGGTGGCATCAGCCGTCCTGGATGGAGGTCTGCTGGAGCAGCAGCATCACGGCTGCAGACAGGAAGAGACTCAACAAACTGATCTAGAAACCCGGCTCTGTCCTGGGCTGCCCCCTTGATCCTGTGGAGGTGGTGGCAGAAAGGAGGACGATGACAAAGCTGTTGTCCATCATGGAGGACACCTCCCACCGCCTGCAGGAAACAGTCAGATCGCTGGGCAGCTCCTTCTGCTTCACCCGTGGTGTCTAAAGGAGAGATAGTGCAGGTCCTTCATCCTGCTGCAGTCAGACTGTTCAGTCCAGCTCCCAGCAGCTCAGCCCCCCACCGTGCAGTAATAATGTAAATAAGGACTCTGAGCAATGTTTCTGTGAGACACTTAACCTAAAAGGAGGAAGTCATCTGCTTTACATCTTGTGCACTGTGTGCATTGTGCGCTGCTCTTTTTTCCCCTGTACTGTGTTATTTTCTATTCTGCTGCTGTAACACTTAGAGTTTCCCCGCTGCAGGATCAATAAAAGTTTAATCTATCCATCTATCTATCGCCTCAAAGGGTTGTTCAACTAAATATTAGTTTATGAGTCCCATCATGCTTGTTTTTATTTTTATTTTTTTTAATATTTCTGTTGAACCACAATTCAAAAACAATGTCATGATTTTGATTACATTTTTATTTATTATTGCTTTTGTCAATTTCAACTTATTTCAGCTGTTTTCCTTCTTTAATGGGAGGCTATGAATACATTAGAGGATGACTATATATTTAAGTGTCTTTTTTTGGTCATAGATGTTCCTGCTGGTTATAATCTGTGTCCTCTCTCTGTTTTAGAGGCCCAGTCGGTCACTCAGAAGCCTCCACAGCAGCCTCCCACTGTGGAGAGAACCAAGACTCCTGTTCATCAGCAGGTCAAAGAGGAGCCGACGGATCAGTGCCTCACCTCAGAGCCGGAGGCCGATTCTCCAGAGGATGTCAAAGTCCTGCTTTGTGAATCAGAAGATCAGAAAAGCGGCCAGCAGCCTCCAGCTTTCAGCTCCATAACTGTGACGCTGAACGACGATGACGAATGGATCGAGAGTGACATCTCAGGCCCGTCCTCCTGCGGCCCGAGCGACGCCTCCTTCTCGGAGCGTGAGCGAGCCCAGCAGGACGACTTCACCTGTCGTCTATGTGAAAAGAAGTTTCAGAAGAACTGTGATCTGTGCAGGCACATGGACAAGATTCACCCAGGACAGAAAGCGCACAAATGCTCCGACTGCGGCAGGCAGTTTTCCCGTAGAGACCACATGGCCGAGCACCTCAGGATCCACACAGGTGAAAAGCCGCACAAGTGTTCCCTCTGTGGGATGTCTTTCACTCAGAGGTCGGCGCTCAGCGTCCACCTGAGGAGGCACACGGGGGAAAAGCCGTACTTTTGCAAGAATTGCAACAAAGCGGTTTCCTATACGCGCCATTTGAAAACCTGCGGCATCACCAACAGCAAAAGGAAGAAACCGTTTTGCTGTTCAGTTTGCGGCAAAATGTTTCACGCAGCTTCCAGCCTGA